AAAACTCATTTCTTGTAACGTGAGCCCTGCTGAAGATGGTCATGTCAACTGATTAGACTTTTTAGTTGGCCATATTGATTCTGTTCTACACCGATGCGGCCCATAATGCTGGCTAATGTTATTGACGAGCCATCAGTCCTGCAGAGACGTGTGGGGCTTGCAGCTCTCTCTGAACCACAAAAACCTATCCATGGACAATGATGGAGAGGAAGAGGAAGATGCAAGCAAAGCACTCAGGCTGGTTTCATTTGGCCTGTAATACATTAATGAAAGACATACACTCTGTGGGAAGAGACAGATGTGGCTCTCCAGAAGCCATTTATTTATAAAATAATTATGAATGCACAGTCGAGTCATGGATTTTCATTATAGTGTGCATGTCTAACACTCTTTCTTTGTTCACGTTTTGCTCTAAATGAAATATAAAGGGAGAGTGATAGCAGCACAGGCCTGAGAGAGATTACTCTCTCCTTCCCTTTACTACCTTTTGTTAAGCCTCAAGGGCAGGTGTTGTCTGGCTTTGTTGAAGTAATGCAAAGCTGCTTCTGGAAGGCACACTTCGCTTGCAACTGGAGAGGCGGCCTCTACAGAAGTATAGTAGAAGGCAGCATCCCAGCTCACTAAATGCTGGAACTTGTTTGAACAATGTAAGAGCATTGATACCAGCTGCTGCATGGAGAGGAGTGAGTTTGATCTTGTAGACTGCTGAGCACAAGGTCTAAACTACTTAAATCTCTATTGCATTTGCTTTTTGTTTCCTTTTCTATTCTTTCTTTTACAGTCTGCCTTCTTGAAAGCCTAGGGTAAAGGCTTTGAAAGTTAGTCTGCCTTTTTCTGTCTCAAAATGAGAAAAGCAAAATAGAGCTATGACCTACTCATTCAAAAACTTCTGATTCTTGAAGAAGAAGAAGACTAGGAAACTAGTAAGGAAGTCAATTATTGTATCACAGCCTTGAATTGCTGGAATAATAGCTCCATTTTAAGCTGTATGATAGTAATGGCAAGACAGGTAAACATGAAGAACTTACAGCCAAGAGTTTGCTTTGTAAGTCTTTCTAGAATAAAGTCATGGGACCAGATCATAAAAAACATATGACAAGAAGATTTTATGTTGGAAAATTTAGTGTAAATTCAACCCTAATCCTGCCTCTTTGCAGTCTTATATCTGCTCTTAAAGATATCTGTACTGTAAAGATTGTTTAAAAACACTTACTTTCTTCTCTAGGCTAGCAGGATTTTAGAGCATAAGTATTGCTTGGGAGACATCAAATCTATGGAAGAGCACGCTATTTAGTGTGTTCTTATAAGGTCATGAAAGAAAATGTCAGATACACTAATATCCTTTCCAGTGTCCATCAATAATTAGCACTGCTAATTCCAGGACAGGAAAGTGTATATTGGCAAGATACAAAAAGTGCTACACTAAGTCAGATATTAATATAGTTATTGGCAGTCTACTGAGCAAGGGACAGAAGGTCTCAAGAACAGTATGCTGGGCATGACACATAAGTGCTAAAGGTAATGCCTGTATGCCTGTAACAGGAAATTAACAGTAA